CCCCCCCCCCCCGTGGTTTTACTCGTTACTTAAACAGACTGTAATGAATCACAGCCAGTGAGCACACGCAGGAAGACCGTCCCTGGCAGGGTCCCGCGTCTCCGTTCTAAAACGAGATGTTCTGTGTTGAATTAGGTGGAAACCGCCACCGACTCGGACACGGAGAGCCGCGGCCTGCGGGAGTACCACTCGGTCGGCGTGCAGGTGGAGGATGCCAAGCGGTAACTCGCCCCTCGGGACACCTGGCGCTTCCGAGCAGCAGCGGCTGGTTGGGAGCACGGTCGGCGGCGTCCAGTCAGGCCGACCGTCAGCGATTCATGCCGTTGGTGGGAACAGGGTCATATATTTTCGCCTGTCTGTTCCCACCATCCGAGTATGAATTGGGGTCCGCCCGAGCCTTGTTTCTGCGAAAGGCAGGGGAGTGACTGTCCCTGGAGCAGTTTAGCGTCTGTGGGAGTAGACGGGCTGACAGTGGGGACTTGGCGCATTACCCAGAGGGTAAACAGGCCCAGGTGAAGCAGGCGCGTGTTGCCTCACCTGACGATGTCAGGGTGAAAAGAAAGACCCAGGGAGACAGGACGAAGACGGAGGGACCTCAGCTGTATGGTGACTGCGTCACTTAGAAAGAGCTGCCTCCAACTCCGGAGGACAGGGTGTCCATCACCCGGGCGTCATCTTTAAACCAGAACAGGGTCGTTATTTTTTAGATGTTTTTACTGATTCAGAGAGAGGAAGGGGGGAGAGAGAGAGAGAGAGAGAGAGAGAGGGGGAGAGAGAGAAGCATCAATGATGAGACTCATTGATCGGCTGCCTCCTGCACACCGCCTGCTGGGGGTCGAGCCCACAACCCGGGCACATGTCCTGACTGGGAATTGAACTGTGACCTCTTGGTTCCTAGGTTGGTGCTCAACCACTGAGCTATGCTGGCTGTTTTATATTTAGAATAGTATATCTTGTAAATTTTATAAAAACCCAGTTTTTAAAAAACTTTCTCTTTTTATTGATTTTAGAGAGAGGAAGGGGAGAGGAAGGGAGAGAGAAAGAGAAACACTGATGTGAGCAACATCTATTGGTTGCCTCCAGAACGTGCCCTGACCGGGCATCGAACTCACAAGCTGGTTCTGTGCCCTGACGGGGAATTGAACCTGCAGCCTTCCCGTGTACAGGACCATGCTCCAACCAACTGAGCCGCCTGGCCAGGGCTATGAAACCCATTCTAATCACCATGGCATCTTGAACTTCAGTCCATACCTAGTTGGTATAAGATTTTCACTGCAAAGAAATTCAGACCACAAAGTAAAGGCCTCCCAGGTTCCCAGGAGACCCCTCAGCACATGGACTCTTCTGCTCCTGGGACCCAGCCCCCTGCCTTCCATCCCCAGCAGCGGCTGGGTCTCAACCCCTTTGCCTCGAGCATAGTAAGTGACAGATCCACTTCCCAGCTGCAGTCACAGCTGTGCTGTCCATGGCACCCGTGGGTGGGGAGCCAGATGTACAGCTGGGGTGCAGTTTGCATGTGCAGACGACCACAGCTCTCAGCCATCAGCACCTGAGCTCCGATGCTGAGCCTGTTCCTGCCGGTCACCTTGCTAGCAGGTGTGTGGAGATGGTGACACCCTGCTGAGGTCATAATTCGTGTTCATGCGGGGAATGAAGGACTCAGTGGGCAAGATGCTTGGCTGTTCAGACGGGAGAAGACACCTGTGCCCTGACATGTGACGTGGGGCGTGGCCATAGCTCAGCAGGCGACAGGCGTCCCCACATAAGAGAAGCCACTGGGGGGTTGCGTCTCTTGGAGTCCAGGGACCCTCATGTGTCCCAGGAAACCTAAATCTTCGGGTGTCGTCTAGACACTGAGACTTAGGTAGGTGTCAGAGGTTCACATTTGCAAAGTCGAGTGTTCTCCCACCGAGGGAACAGAGGTCAGTGATGCAGGTGAGCGGGGATCTTCCCGAGTCGAGTCGTTAGCGCTGTGGTCAGGGTTTGTTCTCAGCTGTGCTTGGGCCTGGTGGCTCCACCTCATCTCAGAAACCCCCACCTCCCTCCCCCCTCTGCAGACACGGGCGTTTCAAGCGCTCCAACAGCGTGACGGCGGCCGTGCAGGCCGACCTGGAGCTGGAGGGCTTCCCGGGACACGTGGCCACGGAGGACAAGGGCCTGCAGTTCGGCTCCTCCTTCCAGCGGCACTCGGAGCCCAGCACGCCCACGCAGTACGGGGCGGTGAGGACGGTGCGCACCCAGGGGCTCTTCAGCTACCGAGAGGACTACCGGGCGCCTGCGGACACGGCGAACCTGCCGCCGCCCGAGCCCTGGCTGGAGCCGGAGGCCACGGAGAGCGGGAGGATGTCGCCCTGCCGCCGGGACGGCTCCTGGTTCCTGAAGCTGCTGCACACGGAGACGCAGAGGATGGAAGGCTGGTGCAAGGAGATGGAGAGGGAGGCGGAGGACAACGACCTCGCCGAGGAAAGTAAGCGCTCGGCCTGGGCTGGCCCGTTGCTGGCCTCTCGTAGGCCCAGGCCAGGGACCGTGTGGACGGGGGTTGGGGAGTTCCCTGACTNTGGAGAGGGAGGCGGAGGACAACGACCTCGCCGAGGAAAGTAAGCGCTCGGCCTGGGCTGGCCCGTTGCTGGCCTCTCGTAGGCCCAGACCAGGGACCGTGTGGACGGGGGGTGGGGAGTTCCCTGACACGGTGTGAGTGAGGGTGGTGAGCCCCCACCCTCACCCCCTCCAAGTCCCAGGAAAGGAAACCACAGGTAAGTGGACAGAAATGACGCTGAGGCACCCAAGGGCCCCGTTCTGTCTGTCAGGTAGCCTGGCCAGTGGTCCTGGCGGAGTTCTTGGCACATCCTCTGTCTCGGAGCCTCGGTCCAGCCCCTGAGATCCCCCAGCAACATGGCCTGGAGCTTTCCCGCCGTTTTCTAGATTATTGCCTTCCCGAGTGTGTAAGAAAGGGCTTTGCCCGGCTGGTGTGGCTCAGTGCTTGACCGTGAACCTGCGAACCTGGAGATCCCGGTTCGATTCCCGGTCAGGCTCATACCCGGGTTGCGGGCTCGACCCCCAGTAGGGGGCGTGCAGGAGGCAGCCGATCGAGGTTTCTCTCTCATCATTGATGTTTCTCTCTCTCTCCCCCTCTCTCTGAAATCAATAAAAACGTCTAAGAAAATAAAAATAAAATGAATAGCTTTAGCTTTATGCCAAACAAAAGTTGTTGCTGAGGAAAGTCCGTCGGTCAGGGAGGTGACAGGTGCTCCTGGCTGTCCGACCCCGGGGTGACCAGGCCTCCGTGTGACTCCTGCCCAGCTGTGGGCAGCACAGATCTGCTCCAACCCTGGTGGCTCAGTGTCCAGCCCTTGGGGACACGCATTTCTCAAAGGACAGGGCGGCCCCGAGCTTCCCCGAAGCTCTGTCCTCGGCTGTCATGTGAGATCCGCAGCTCCGTGAACAAGGTCATCGCATCTGATGGATTTATTATCCGCCAGCAGTGCCCGGACAGTGTCTGGCACAAAGCTCCTGCCGCCGAGAGGTCAGGGCGGGAAGACCTGGGCGGTCCCGTAACCAAGGACGTTCACCTGGTCGCAGCCTCCGAACCCCGGGGCGTCCTTCTGCCCACAGGGGGGCAGGGCCGTGGCCTGTGCACTCCTCCTGTACAGACACCTGCTAAGTTCGATTTCCCGTGGGTCCCTTCCCACTGCTCTTTAATAACTAAATGCGACTGTGTTGCCCTTAGCCTCGGACACAAAGACAAAGAAGCGACCCACGTGATACCTTTGGGGATTTTCTTAATTTCTCAAGTTGGCCGCTATCTGGATCTTCTTGTGAACAAAATGACAACACGCCCTGGCTGGTGCGGCTCCGCGGTTAGAGCACCGGCCCATGAACCAAGGGGTCTCGGGTTTAATTCCCGGTCACGGGCATGTACCTGTTGCAGGCTCAGTCCCCAGCCCCACTCGGGGTGCGTGCGGGAAGCAACCCATCGATGTTCCTCTCCCTCCCCCTTCCACTCTCTGGAAAGCAGTGGGAAATGTCCTCAGGTGAAAATTAACGACAACACACACGTATTGTGTAGCTCTTCTGCGTGCCTAGTAATCAAGTTTAGATATTTCTCTAGTGATTTTTAAAAGGTAAGATAGCTCTTGAGTCTAGGCCTAATTTTAAGAACAGATACAGGGTTATTGGTTATGAGACCTTCAGAAAGTAAAGATGAAATTAAATGGCTTGTGAAACCAAAATTATGAGGTCCGACTGTTGAAATTTGCATTAAATGGAATAATTTTCCCCCCAAAACTATAATTTTATAATCACAGTTCCCTGAACTGATNTCTAGTGATTTTTAAAAGGTGAGTGAATTTAGAGTCACTCAGTCCTCTGTGGTTAATAAAACAACCGTGAGCCCAAATAAATGCCGGCGTGAGTGAGGTCACAGTTCTGCAGGCTTCCTACTGTTAACACAGACGTAGATCACTGTGGAGGGTTAGGGATTTTTTTGTATTAATTATGTTAAACCAAGTGGGTAGCTGACGTAAAGTGAAACCCCCCCAAAGTAAGATGTCTTCTGAAATAAAAAAATCATTCCAAAGCCACAGCGATCTTATTTGCAGGGACGCACACGACGAACTCCATGGTGGGGTCTCTCCAAAGGTCTTGGGAAGTTCTCTTGCCTCAAAACAACTCTGCCCTGAACAGTTAATAATCTAAATAACCATGGACTTGGAGAGCTGGGAGGCTTCAGTGATACCCTCGTCCGGGAGAGCCAGGGAGGGGCCCAGGCTCACTGGGCACATTCACACAGCCAGGGGCTCCCCGCTCTGTGTGGAGCGGCCACGACCTCCGGGTGGGGGCAGGGCCGGCGCACAGACTGTCGCGGCCACAGGGAGAGTAGAGAGCACACAGCCCCGGTGACCGGTGAATGCACAANGCCACAGGGAGAGTGGAGAGCACACAGCCCCGTTGACCGGTGAATGCACAGGCCACGTCCTAAGTGGGGGGCGAGCAGGACACGGGCCTGTGTCTGCAGTTCGCCCAGCATGTCCCGGATCAACAGAGAAGGTGACAGTGAGGGTGGTTCTGGGCAGGTCAGCACTTTGTCCACCGCGGTGGCCGCAGCCTGAGGGACAGCGCTGCCTCCTGAATTCCAGCAGCGACACATCTCTCCCCCAGAAAATGTGGACCTCCTTCAGCTCGAGACCTTGAAGGGAGATTTGAGGAGACAGTGACCCCCAAATCACTGCAGGAATCCCAGAGCAGAGGGGTCATAAATATTCAAACGATCGCATCAAACTACCTGCAAATTCCACAAAAACCCAGTTCAAAATCCGAGAGACGAGCGGTGTGAATGTTGTCCTGAGGCCTCACGGTGCGTTTAGATGGAAGCAGGGAAGGTGGGAGCCGCCTGGGAAGTAAATCGGAGGAGCCCGGAGCCAGTCGGTTTCTCCCACACCCGAGGCAGGTTGCCTGGGGCCTTCGCACAGTCGCAGTCGTAGTCGCATTCTGATGGGCGTCGGTCCTTATCTGCAGCGCTTGCTGGAAAGAACCTGTCTCAGCTCTGACAAAACCAGGGAAGTATCCTGGAAGAAAATCAATTGAATTTTCACTGCAAATTCTTGGCAACCACAGGAAGCCAGGAAGTTGAGACAATCATCCCCTCGGCTGAGCCGCAGAGCCTCCCACTGTGCACCGTCCAGTCCTCGGGCACCATCCTCGACAGTCACTGTCCCTCCCCAGCGGTGATCAGTTACCCCCGATGGTCACTTCACTATGTTAAACGAGCACCAAGAAGCTGCCATCTGCCCACGTGGTGCCAAAGGTCATACGCTGAGGCCCTTTAGACCAAAACCCCTGTTGAGTGGCATTTTCAGGAGATGGGACTATGAGGGTTTAAATCTCCCAATCGTGTAAAACTGCCTGACTTTCTAATTCCATCCGAGGACGCCTGGGCTCCATGAGCAGTGAGTGTGTTTGTCACTTCTGTATATTCCTGCAGCAAGAACTCGATTAAAGCGGGTTCTCTAAATGTCTTCGTCAGCCTGCAGGCGATAGGGGTTTACAGGTGGAAATTCAGTATTTTAAAACTACATGTTTTAAAATCAAAGGTAATCCCTGCCCTCGGCGGCAGCAAGACCAGAGCCCCAGAGGATTAAAATGCGAGCCAAGTAGGAAGTGGCCCCTCCCAGGATGGCTGCGGCCCCACCTTCCCCCTGGGGCGCCTGAACCCTGCCACAGCACCTCCCTCACCTCCACCCCATCCCCTTCGGGGCTCCCCGCTGCCTCCCCTGACCCCTCCCTCCTGCTGCCCACAGATCCCGCCAGGGAGGTGGCAGGATGGAGGCCGGGGCGGCAGCCCCTGGGACTGGACCGAGGGCCCAGGTAGCAACGTGCAGGACGACCTACTGTTCGGCTTCTTTTTAAGGCTGAAAGGCTGCCAAAGTGTTACACATTCCACTCTCTTTTGTTGTTAATTCGCACCCAGGGATATTTTTTCCATTGATTTTTTTTTTAGAGAGAGTGGGAGGGAGGGAGGGAAGGGAGAGAGAGAGAGATATGAGAGAGACACATCGATTGGTT